TCCTTAGTATAATCATAGTATAATAAACCCCAAATCCCTACTCTAATTTTTCAAGGCTCCTATACTAGCTGACTTCCTTCCGAAGTCTCCTGAACCTTCAAGTAGCTATTACAGAAGCCCGATCCCTGACATTTCTGCCGCGCTTGGACAGTTCCATGAGTGCTTGCAAGCTTGTGCGCCTACGCCCCTCCATCCTAAACCCAAGGCGGAACACCCAATGTTCAAAATATGGATTTAGGCTCCGTCGCCACAGGTTTCGCCTAACCAAGAGATGGAAAACTGACACTAAAGAGTTTGACTTGAGGGTTTTTGTTTCCTAACCCCTCACCCCTGAATCTTGGCCTTAAACCCTGAACCCTAAGCCCAAAAACAGACCCTAAAGCTTTAAACCCCAAAACAATTCTTGGCTTTTCGACGCCAGGCCGCCGCGCTGGAAGCCCAAACGGAGAGGGCGACAAAGGTTCTGGTGCCTTGATCCCAAATCTTGAGCCGGGATTAGGGGTTTAGGGTTTAGGGTTTAGGGTTTAGGGTTTAGGTTTAGGGCTTCGGGTTTAGGGTTTAGGGTTTAGGGTTTCAGGGTTGGGGTTTCCGGTGTATAAGTTAAACGACGTAAGTTCCCCAGCAATACCCTTTTACCCTTGTTGTTTTTGGGCTCCGTCATGAAACCCAACCAGGCGGAGAAAGGGTACTCTTACTATTAAAGAGGTACCGGGGAACCTGGTACTTCGCGGTGTCCCAAGGTAGGGCTTACATGAATGCCCGACGGCGTTTACAGCGGGGTTCCCAGACACCCCCCAGAAATTGAAAGAAGCAAGATACTTCTGAAGTAATGGGGACCTGCAGTCCCGGCGTACAACTTGAAGTAGATGTCTGAAAAAATCCAGAAAGATGCAAAACCAACCATCCTAAGACCATGTAAATCTCTGCGCCTTAGGTGTATTCCTTAACGAACAGCTCTTGTGTTCCTTGGAACCATCCAGGAAATTGCCGCCCCTCGGAGACGCGAATGTGAGGTGGGGCTCACAGGTAGGCTCTAACGACTCAGGCTTTTGGGCCCAAAGACCATTCTGTGGAAGGCTCTTGGGCTACTTTGAGCCTTAGGCTAAGGCTTCCGATCAAGGGATCTTTGAGATCTTCCTCTCTAGGATGCTGTGGCCTAGGACGTACGGAGCTCTTGATGCCTATAGGTGTCCTTGCTAAGTCTTTTTTTAAGCAAAAACAGTATTGTATTTAGGCTCTATATCTTTTTTAAGCACAAACAGTATTGTGTTTAGGCTCTATATCTTTTTTTAAGCAAAAACAGTATTGTGTTTAGGCTCTATATCTTTTTTAAGCAAAAACGGTTTAGGGTTTAGGGTTTAGGGTTTAGGGTTTAGGGTGAGTATCGTATTTAGGATCTATCTTTGGGTTTCTTACAGTTCAGTGCATCTTCATGGCAGCCCGTATACAGAAGGCCGACCTTCTCTGCAGTACACGATGGTAGGATATATATATATATATATAGGGTTTAGGGTTTAGAAAAGACCTAATTTAATTAAAACAAACAAAGGACAAACGAAGTGCGTGCCGCATGTTTTAATTAAATTAGTTCTTTTGCTCTTTTGTTCCTTTTTGGGTTTAGGGTTTCATATATATATATATATATGTATGCGTGTATCTACAGGCCAAAACCCGTAAAGGTTACTTAAGCAGACGACAGTAGAGGCCCTAAGAACTGTGATAGGATCTTGGGGCATACTTTTTTGTAATACTCTGAGGATTAAAAGGGAACAGTACTACAAATGATTTAGGCCCCCCATGTTATGTAATGGCTTTCTTGCAAGCAACGCAAACTAAAACAAGCCTCTACTAACTTGTTGGCACCTACTGAACCTCATTGCGGAATTTAGTGGCGTGCTCACATCCGTACATCATTACGGTGTAAGAGTTGATGCCCCGCACTTCAGCCGCAAGTAATACCCTCATACCTAATACCTGGTATCATTTTATGCCTAAGGCCCTAAACCCTAAACCCTAAACCCTAAACCCTAAACCCCTAACCCCTAAACCCTAAACCCTAAACCCTAAACCCTAAACCCTCAACCTTAGGGTTGCTCGAGAAACCAGCCTAACACGAGCGATACGGACCTGGAGAACAAGGGGACTCAGTTGTAAGTGGAGCGAGGGTTCAAAGTTTGGGGTTTGGGGTTTAGGGTTTAGGGGATAGAGCGACGTAGAACCGTGTCCCTAGTTCTGTATGGGACTCTACAGAAACCCACAGTTTCAAGGACCCTAAACCGTAAACCGTAGCCCTGTAATATGTAAAGCACCCTGTGCCATGAGAGGCCTACCAGTAAGGAACAAGCCCAAACCCTGCGGTTTAGGGTTTAGGGTTTAGGGTTTCTGGACAAAACCCAAAGCCAAAACCTCCTTACATTAGTGAGCAGTATGGCGCCGTATTTCTTCTAGCCAAATCCAACCGCTTGCCAACCCATAGTTTAAAGTGTATAGGGTTTAGATTTTTATGTTTGCGGCACCTTAATTGGGGTTATATGTAAGCACAAGCAGCTGTTGTTGCCCCACCTACTTGTTGAGCTGACCAGTTAGGCAAGGGGTCTGATAGTTCCACAGAACAACTTACCCAGAGGGTCCATATACACTGCCCTTCTGGACTTCGGCCCCAAAAGACCATCCTTATCCCCTTTTCGGGGACCTACTTCCAGAATAGTAGTATGTATGGACCCTCTATGTTTGTGTTACCATACTTGAGTCCAAAACCCTATTCTGATTCTTAAGGCCCTACATTAGACCTCCCTGAGTCTCAAAGGAAAAGCCCTAACTCCAAACCCTGAACCCCGACAGCCCTAAAGCCCCAAACCCCGAACCCCTACCCTAAACCCTAAACCCTAAACTACTATTACTATTATTACTACTATTACTACTATTATTATTATTACTAATATTACTAGTATAATTATACTACATCCTGGGACCCTCCTAAGTAAGGGAAGTGAGCACGGCGTTTGCAGGTTGTCCTGCCGTCCTTACAGGAGGCCGAGGACTCCGCCTGGCCTACGTGGAAGCGAGGGGCATAGTGGGAAGTAGGGCTGATGCTATAAATCCTGCATTGCCTTAAGGACCCTAAACTATGAGAATTATGGTATATTCCTCATGATGGGTAGTGCAGATTTATATCATCAACAGTAGGAAGTAGGGGAGGTTCCTCGGTGCCACAAGGTAAGGGCTCTTTGGCTCCGTAATGGTTGTGAAAACGGCTTCTCGGATTTAGGGCCTCAGGGTTAATTATAATAGGGTTTAGGTTCACGGTTCACCACTTGACATGACGGAATCCGAAGTGTTGCACAAGTGAGACCGCCACTGTTTAGGGTTTAGGGTTTAGGGCCTCAGGGTTAATAATTAGAATAGGGTTTGGGGGGTATAATATACTATGATTCTAACAAACGACAGGGGCCTTAATCATTAGAATAGGGCTTGCGGGGTATATGATACTATAGCTATAACAAAAATCGCGAAAACCCCATCCTGATTATTAAGGCCCCTACATAACCCTAAACCCTAAACCCCCCTAAACTCTAGGCCCTAAAGCGTTCCCTTTTAAGGGGTCTCCCTAATAGTAAGACTCCTACATGGGTGGTTGTCAAAATTATGGTCCCTTTTTGGGTCCTTATTGTAATACGGCACCTATTATTTAGGGTACCCCAAAAAGAACCATAATTTTGACAACTAAACCCTAAACCCTAAACCCTAAACCCTAAACCCTAAACCCACATTAGGCTTTGAGGTTTAGGTGTTGACGGCTCAGGGTCAGAGTTTTGGTCTCAGGGTGTAGGGCGAGTTTGAGGTTTAGCGGTTAGGGCGTTTGGGTTTAGGGTTTAGGGTTTAGGGTTTAGGCTAGACCAAAGAAGGTATATAAGATAGTCCTTTTTCAGCTTCTATTTGTTGAGATCCTTCCGGAAGTTTGTGTGCCCCGGATCGAGATAGCCCAGGTCTCCAAGCAGAGACACTGAAAGCCCTTGTGTAGGGTTTAGGGTTGAGGGTTTTAGGGTTTAGGGTGCAAGGGTTTAGGGTTTAGGAGTTTAGGATTGAGGGTTTAGGGTTTGGAGCTCCCAAAAACAACGAGAGACCCTGTAAACCCAAAGCCTCGATTCTTAAAGTCTAAAGGGTCATGGGGCTTAGAAGCTAGGGTTTGCCGAAACATAGCGAACCGTATTAGAACGCATGCATAGCCCTAATCAAGGTACTTGTATCCTTACTTACGAAGTCCCATGATCCTCTAAGCCCTAAACCCTCAACTCAAAACCCTGAGGCCAGTCTAGCCCAGAGACCCCACTCATCCGTGCTTGAGCGGATCAGTGGGCTAAGTAAGTTCGGTTTGGGGTTTAGGGTTTAGGGGAGAAAAGACACAATAATTAACTCACTACACCCGGCAGTGTATCAAAAACGTTGTAACCCTATAGGGCGCTTTAAGAACCCTTCAAATCGTGTAAATCCTCAATGACTGCCACTGGTATTCCGTATGGCTACTCTTCCTCTGTATCCATGAAAGAGCGCCTATATTCCTTAGGGCTCCGTATTGTTATAATTCTACGTAGTTGAATGTACCCCAGAAATCAACCCTCCTCGCGTCATTGAGGCCCTAAGCCGTAAACCCTAAGCCCCTCTTACCAAAGGGTGGATAGCCCTAAACCCTAAACCCTAAGCCCCTCTCACAAAAGGGTGGATAGCCCTAAACCCTAAACCCTAAACCCTAAAACAAAAAACTAAGCCCCTCTTACAAAAGGGTGGATAGCCCTAAACCCTAAACCCTAAACCTTAAGCCCCTCTTACAAAAGGGTGGATCGACGGAGGAGTCGCCAGAGCAGTGGGGCGCCATCCTCACCCTCACGGACCCTCGGCGTGGGAGAGTTTTTTGGGGGGAGCCGTTCTAGGCCATTTAGGGTTTAGGGTTTAGGGTTTAGGGTTTAGGGTTTAGGGTTCAGGGTTTAGGGTTCAGGGTTCAGGGTTCAGGGTTCAGGGTTTAGGTTTAGGGTTTCGGTGGCGCAGCCGTTCCAGGCCGCTTAGGCCTTAGGGTTGTCGGGTTGCCTTTTCGACGTAGTATTCCAAGACCCAAGCACTTGCCGAGTCTAGAGAGTGCCTTCAGTAGCAACGCAGGGTTCTTTAGGGTTTAGGGTTGCCGACCCTCCTGAAACCCTAAACCAAAGTTAAAGTTAGTACTGCATCCGAGGAGTGCAACCCTTGATATCCTTGGGACCTCCTGGGGGTAGTTGATTGGTGTAGGGTTTAGGGTTCTGCTGGCTTTGAGAGACCTCTTCCATAAGCAAACATTCTCGGTCTGCAAAACTACTACACATCTAATTAATGTTCCCGTGCTCTCCCTACGTAGCTTTTCTACACTTTCCTTCTAGTTCTTCAGGCACCTATACTATAAAGACTGTCAATATACCCTTCTAGCCCCTGCACAACGGTGGCCCCAAACCCTGTTGAACGAATATTGAGGCACCTATACACAAGCAAGATTAGCTCCTGCTGAAAACCGTTCAGAAGCCCGTTGGGGGGGTGGGGGGGCGTGTACCCCCCTTTACAACCAGAATCCCCACTTTGCAACCAGAATCCCCACTTGACAACCCACAAGCCTTTCCAGAATCCCCACTTTGCAACCGGTTGCGATTGCTTCTTAACAAGCATATTAACTGAGAACGTCAAAGCCTGAAACTCCGGCAGCATCCGTTACAGCAACCATGCAGGTTGGAAAGTCTTGCTGGTTGCAATGTGGGCGTTCTTAAGCCGAATCCAAGACATATACATATATATGGACATATATATATATATATGTATATGCCTATATACTATATGTTATACGTCTGTGTCTGTGCGTGAGGGTTCGGTATTGATGCTTCCTTGGTCGCTCACCTCACCGAGCTACTTGAACTCAGGTAGTAGTTGATGTTCACTCTCGCATTCATAGGCACTCGGACGCAAGTTTCCTCTTGCCAGGCGATGCTCAGCCGTAGGT